GAGTTAGAGATCATTGAAGTATCAAGTTGGTTTTATCTTTAAAATGACATTTTATGTAAGATGAAAAAAACAGGATGGGACTTTTGGGTGTGTATGGAAGGGTTTTTTGGGGGGTGGTGATTGTTTTTGTTGTTTTGATGTCTGGAATTGAACCCAGGGCTTTGTGCATACTCAGCATGCACTCTTACCACTGAACTGTATACCCTCTAGCCCCAGGTTCTTTTATCATTTAGCAAAACAGTCGTCCATAGGCTTTCTGTATAGAAAGTGTAGGGATAATAAGCATGGACCTTTCTCTCAAAGAGTTCTTAGTCAGCCAGGGGCTGGTGGCTCATACCTGTAATCCTAGCTACTTGGGAGGCTGAGATCCAAAGGATCGTGGTTTGAGGCCAGCCTTAGCAAAAATGTTTGTGAGACTCCATCTCAATGTAAAAAACTTGGCATGGTGGCACATGCCTGTCATTTCAGATTTGCAAGAAGCTTAAAATAGGATCATGAGCCAGGCCAGTTTGGCCAAAGAGCAACTATATAACCAGAGTGAAAAGGACTAAAAGAGTGTTTCAAGTGGTAGAGCACCTGCCTAGCAAACACGAAGCCCAGAGTTCAAACCTCAGTTTACTCCCACCTCTCCCAAAAAAAAAAGCCTCAGGTCTCTTGAGGTAGCTGAGCTAAGCTCATGCCTAAATCCAGGGAACTGGTATGGTTAGTGAACTGCACACGTGCGGCAGGTGGAGAGGTGTAGGTGGCTCTCTTCCCTTCCTTAGCTGCTTTATGAAAGCTTCCATCTTGCATTGGGAATGTTCTGGACTGCAGGCGGAAGAGGAGAAGTGGGTGAACACAGAGCACTTAGTGGAGTTGAGAGCCCTTAGGAGGTAAGGACAGGTGCAAGAGCTGTCTGCCGAAGCTCCCCCTCCCCCCAGTTCCTTCTCAGTGTTCACTTCAGCACCTGCTTGTGCTCAGCTGCTGGCGTAAGTGTGCAGGCGACATGGGCTAGTGCCTGACCTGGAGCAGCAGGAGGTGTTGAGGGTCCAGAACAAGAGAAGGCTCCCCGTGCAAAACACTCCCTGCAAGGGCCTTGTCTTACTGTTTTTGTATGCTAGCTAATAGGTAGTAGCAGGATTAAGTTAATAGGTATCAAGATTCAGGCTGCAGATTGAGTCTTCCTGCTCTGCCTCCAGGCTCTCCGGGTACCCGTGTGTGAGCGTGCACACATGCACATTTTCAGGTTAGAAAACACAGCCTTCATGGAACAGGGACTATGAGTTACTCTGCAGATGCCAGAGTCCTCCAAGTGCCTAGCACAACACCCACTGTCCCTGATACAAAGGCCAGCAGAGGCTCACTAACCATCTCACTCTTCTGTTCTATTGTCATCCTGAAGTAAAATTAAGTTCTGCTTGCTCTAAACTTTGTGCTTGACTTACTTGCTGTGGTTTGCTCCTCTTTTTTTTTTACTCAAAAAGTGTTTTTTTGAGTTAGGGTCTCTATGTAGCCCAGGCTGACCTGGAACTCATGTAGGCTGGGATGACCTCAAACTCCCAGTTCTCCTGCTTTTGCCTCCTGAGTGCTGGGATTACAGGTGTGCACTACCTACTCCTGGCTACAAAACATTTTTGAGTATCTACCTTTACCAAACATTGACAGGCACCAAGGATATAAAGGTGTGCTCATTTTGTTCACAGTCAAATGTAGAAGACAGACATAGAATCTTGAATCTTAAAAAGAAGACATCCTGTGTGTGCACTACAGGAAAACCCTGAGCAAAGTGCTGTGGAACCCCAATAAAGGGAATAACTTTTTTCTGCTAGGAGATGTAGAGGCAAAGCAGGACAGAGGAGGGATGACGTTTGGTTTCCACTTAGAATGGTAAGAGTTTCCAGTTAAATGGAATAGGTAACACAGGAGTTGAGGAGCTGAGACCCAAGTTTCAGAAGGTCTTCAGGACTTAGATCCAGAATGACTTTGACTTTCTAGGTGTTTGTGCCATGCTTTGCTGAGGAGCACAGATCTTTCTTTCTTTTTTGGAGGTACCGGGGTTTGAACTCAGGGTCTCACGCTTGGTAGGCAGGTGCTCTACCACTTGAGCCACACCTCTAGTTCTTTTTGCTTTACTTATTTTTTTCAGATAGGGTGTGGAGTTTTTGCCCTAGGAAGTCCTGGAGCACGATCCTCCTACCCACAGCCTCCAGTGTAGCTGGGATTAAAGATAGGCACCACCATACCTGGCCTAGATAGATGTTTTCAAGCAGTGTTGTAAAAAGCTAGGATTGGGATGGAGATTGGTGGAACTCTGTAACCTTCTTGCTTTCTTCAATTACAGCAGCTCCACACATAAGCACAAAGCATGGTTTTGTTTGTTTTTTTGAGACAGGGTCTCACACTGTGTAGTGCAGCCTAGTCTGGAACTCACAATCCCGCCTCAGCCTCTGAGTGCTGAGATGATAGGCATTTGCCAGCACATCTGGCTTAAAGCATGCTTTTATAAAAGCATAGTTACAGTCTGTGTGAAGAATTAAAGGGTTTTATGATAGAATTTTTGAATGATAAAGTGTTAAGATCTTTATTTTGGTGTTGATTGGTCTCTCATTGGGTTATCTGGTTCTTTTGGCTTTTACTAGTCATGTTTTGCCTTCTCACAACTTATTAGGTCCAGTTCTTATTGCCTTCTGAGTTTAGTTGATTTCCATGGCTCGGATTTTGAATGAGAGGAAATCTGATTGATTGCTGGTCAGAGAACCTTTGGCTTGTAGAGTCAGTTATTCACCTCCAGTGCAGTTGGATATAAGCAGATCTTGGGGGTAGTTCTTGAAGTCAAAGGTTGGGATCAGACTGGTCCCCAGGTTCAGTGGGAACCACTCTTACCCTGTCCCGTGGATCTGCTCAGAAATATTCTCTGCATACACTTGTGTCCGTGTACTGGTGCATGCATGATTTTTTTTTTTCCAGAAAGCAGTCTAAGAAATGATTACTATCACTTCTTTTTAACTTTTTCCCCTGGATTATTAGAACTTTCTAATCTTGTACATGTTTTTAAAATTTGTCAATAACAGTTCTCTTGGAAGTAAGACTATGGCTCTTTTAATATGTGTAGATGGAAAACAGTCAAATAAATGTTTAAAATTAAGTAAGAGTTTATTTTCTTGAGTCTGCACACTAAGGTTAGCTTTTCTTTGCAGTTATAAGCACATGTGCTTAATTTGGTCAGTAATGTGAAAGCTTTAAGAAAGCGTTTGTAATGAAGCTGTTTCAGAATATCAATGTTCTGAGTGACAGCAAACTTGATGTTAAATAGCACCAACATTTATCACGATTGAACTAAAGCACCTGTAAAGTTTGCACTGCCACCATTAAGAGTGACTCCAGGTACTTGTCCCGTTTTTCCCTCTCTTCCTCACCTTGCTCCGTTTTGATGTTTGTGGAAACATTCACCGCACTCTTGTCATTTGGGTGTACTGCCTTAGATTAAGTTTGGGCTTCTTGTTATTAAACACTGCAAGATGTGGCACGGTATCTTTGTCTTGGTGGTGTAACATTCTGAGTTTTGAGCTATGTCTATGTATTTATTACTCATTAAAGTACACAAGAATGATGCTAAATAAAATACTTAGTTTGCAAATTACTGCATGTAATAGTCTATAAAATTGGCCCAGTATGGTATGCAGTATCAGTCTTGGTGGATCATTGATCATCACTGTGCACAAAGCACACGTTGTGATCTGAGAGTCATACACTAGGGAGTGGAATGGTAGAGTTTTTGTAAGTGTGCAAATTTAATTTTGAACCAGTTGCTTTTGGAAGTATTTATGTAATATTCTACAAAACACAGTTTTATTTTAAATTGTATGGGTTGTGATGTATGTCTTACTTTAACTCTGGCCGCTTCATAGTAGAATAAAATAGTGGCTCTTTCCCAAGTGTCACTTCCGTCCTGTAGAGACCCAACGCTTGAAAGAATGAGGCATTTTGGCTGAAAGTTAGGACTATATGGGATTATTGGATTCTTTTTAATTTTTTGAGCAGTTGATTCCCCCCCCCCCCCGCTCTAGACTAGTTTTCAGTTAAAGCCTGCCATCTTGTGGTCATAAAAAAATAAATATGGGGATTTAATTAAGGAAAAAGTCTGCTGAGATTTTATGTAGTTGCTTTGTGATACCCAAATGAGTAAAGTCTTCTAAATTATATTTTCTTACTATTTGATCTGCTTATTTCTTCATTTTGTTTGAATATTAGGAATACTTTTTTATAATAGCAGTTCTAGTTAAGAGCAGGTATTGAATTTTGATATTAAGACTTTTCCTATGTAACGAGTGATAACAATTACTTGAATGAGGAAAATACTGTCCTTTAGAATATAACTAATAAACAAACTGTATCCACAGGAACTTCATTATGTACAACTTCATTTTTTGGTAGCTAATAACATAAACTGAATAATTTTTCTGTAAAATATTAAGGAGGTTCTTACTTGTAGTTAGGAAAATCTCAGATCTCCTCCTACATGAGAAATAGAAGATACTTGTAAGTGTGTTGGTATCACTTACTTGTTATTAACATCAAGCAGATTTCTGTATATCGTTAGTTTTAAAGTTCTTAAAATAACTTAATCTCATTTTATATGTTTTGATGTCTACTGTTTATTTTGGCCTATAGTATCCATTATATTTAAAAATAAGTTTCAATTTCTTCAAAAATACTTAGTGTGCCTCTTAATAGAACAAGGAAGAAATGTGTTCTCATTTAGAGACAACCAGGATTCTGGTATACTGGTTCTTTTGGATTTCTTCATCCCAGAAACCTTAGTACTCATTCCACATGGGAAAAAAATGCTGTTATCTACCCAAAACTCTAGATCTAATGTTCCTGAATAGGCCTTTCCAAATTCAGTAGGTTTGGGCACTCCTATTTAAAGTGAATTTCTTTTATTTCTCCTGTTAGCAGGCAGGAAGAGGCCTCAAGTCAGCAGTATAACTGATGTCTGTGCTTTTGCAAATGTCTTACAGTTATGCTAAGAAAGAATCTGATCTTAATGGAGCCCAGATCAAGCTTCGTGAGTATGAAGCAGCACTGAACTCTAAAGATGCAGCTCTGGCTACTGCCCTTGGTGACAAAAAGAGTTTAGAGAGTGACTTGGAGGATCTGAAGGATCAGATTGCCCAGGTAAGTAAACTGCCCATGAGCTGTCCTTGGCAGATAGTTGGCATTTGCCTTAAGTCATGGCTTGATTGATTTTTTTTTTTTCTTTTTAAATACCTAGTTTTTATTTCTTGGGAAGTTACTTAAGTCTTTTTTGGTAGCTTGCCTGAAGAAGTCTTGAGGAAGCTAACATGCATAGGATGGTCCCTGAGCAGTCAGTCATCCTCTTTGGATTCTGCAGATCTTGAGCTCTTCTTCCTTTCTCATGTGTGCCCTCATTTTGTCTCTTGCCCTTGTCAAAGCCTATTTCATTATTGCACGAAAATGAGAGCTGGGAAAAAAGCAGTTGTCATAATGCACACAGGAAACAATGAAAGTGATTAGCTGAAAATCATTGGCTTGGTTTGCAAAATGTGAGTGTTAGATCTGTGCTCTTCCCTGTGGGCAGTTACCAACTTGACAGGTGATCTGGTGTGGCACCCTGAGGTTGGGACCAGCAAATGAACACATAGTTCTCTGGTACAGTTAAAACGAGGTAAAATGGATAGGAATTGTGATAGTTTATTAATTTGATTCATACACATCTTCAATTCATTACTAAATGACTGCCATGTAACTTTATCACAACCTTTTTTCTTTATGATAGTTGGAAGCCTCCTTAGCTGCTGCCAAGAAACAGTTAGCAGATGAAACTTTACTTAAAGTAGATTTGGAGAATCGTTGTCAGAGCCTCACGGAGGATTTGGAATTCCGTAAAAACATGTACGAAGAGGTAACTGTAACTTCCTTTTTTTTTTCTTTTAAGCTATGTTCTCATGATACAGTCTAGGCTGACCTTGAGCTCTCATTCCTCCTACTTCAGCCTCCCTAGTGCTGGGATTACAAGTGTGTGCCCCAGACCCAGAGGCCCAGCTTAATTAATTTATTCAAGGAAAAAAGATGTAGTAGAAAGTTAACAGCTAAAGAGATAAAAGATTTGAGGATAGGAGAAATTTTGCAGGTAAACTGGTCAAGGTACTTGTGTTAAAAGACCAAATCTAAGAATTTAAGGGTAATTGGAGAAGTAGGTAGTAGAAATCTGTCCATTTTTATAATAACAGTTATTTGAATAAAATGGGTGTTGTTGGTACCAAGTATACTGGACAAACAAACCTTGTACAACTTTTGAATCAGTTTCTCATATTAAAATGAAATATGGATACTACTGTTTTTCTCCAAGGAGTAGTGAGAATCAAAGTGAAGCATTGTGTTTGAAAGTTCTGTGTAACCCATAGCAAGCATTTTTATATAATTGTTAACAAGTATTGCTCTATAAAAGCAGATGTTTTTATGTGAAATTGACTTATTTTTGTTTTGCTTTGTTAAAATTGTTTCTGATCTATCATGTTAAAGGTATGGAGAACCAGGAATAATTTTTTTCTTCATGAAATAGTAATTGAAAAATGGCATCGGTTAAATAATTTGATATTTTTAGAGTGCATAGCATCTTTGGATATTTTGTTTTTGAGTTTTTGAATATGACTTGAAAACATTACTTAACTTTTTCTTTTTTCTACATTGAGGACACTTCAATGTCTATACCTTTATTGTGAACAGTTAAGAGGGAAAGGAAGAGGAAGCAGAAAACTAGGAAGAGCAAGGGAAGTAGACAAAGAGCACACTGTCAGTAGGTGCTCACTATTTGTTGAGCGTGTCCCTTTGCGTGATACGCTTTCACGATTTAGGGGCATTTGCTTCATTAAGTAGATGTGAGTGCTGGGAGGTTGATAGCAGAGCTGTGATTTGAACCCTGGCTTTCTGGTTTTTCTGATTCTACCAAGCATATCTTCCTCTTCAATGATTAAGAGAAGGATGAAGAAATGCACAGAGACTAGAATATACTCAAAATACACAAGGCTGAGGGGTAGCTAGCTCAGTGGTAGAATGCTTGTCTAGCATGTTTAAGGCCCTGGGTTCTATCTACAGTACTGTACAAGAAACAGCAACTTAGTGGATTATACTCCCCTCTTGTGGTTTTTTAAATTATTGCCATTAAAAACAAATCTCTGTATTTTCATAGTGAGAAGTTAAAATGGAAAATTTAATTTGTGGGCTTGTGTTCTTAGCCACAGATTCCCTATTCCAGATTTGTTTGGACAGTTCCTTAAAACTGAAGAATTCACTATCCTTTAATAGTGAATTATCACATATGTCAATTAATCAAGTAATTCTGTTAATAAGACCATGTATTAATTAGTTGATAGAGGTAGCTCTCCATTAGCTAGTAAAAGAAATCCTGTAACTTCCCTCCTGCCTGTTACTGTGTCTAAGAAAATAGTTTCATCTGACTGATAAGCTTATTAACTTTCTGTGTGCATTTTTTTTTAGAGGTGTCCTTAGGATTATGAGTAAAGCAATTTAGAAAAAGCAACCGCTGGTTAGTGTTGAATACAGTACCTGTCTGGTTATCCAGGACTGCATGGCACTGTAGGAAATAATCCAGGCCATTCTTTGCCTTTAGAGAATACAATAGCTGTATTCCTAAAAAGAAAAAGAAAATTCCTAGGGGAGATACAATGATTTATATCATTAGTTCTAGCTCAGAAATCTACCAGAACACCAAGAGACAACAAAGTGTATTCACACGCCTGCCTTAGGACAGGACAGACGGGAGGTGTGTTAAGTTTTCCAATGACCCTGAGCACTCAGACTCATACTACTGTAATCATGGTAAATAACTTGGTTTATGTCTCTTTTGTCCCCCTAGGAGATCAATGAGACTCGAAGGAAGCATGAAACACGCTTGGTGGAGGTAGATTCTGGGCGTCAAATTGAGTACGAGTATAAGCTGGCTCAAGCCCTTCATGAGATGAGAGAGCAGCATGATGCCCAAGTGAGGCTGTACAAGGAAGAGCTGGAGCAGACTTACCATGCCAAAGTGAGCACTTACTCTCCAGAGGGTTTGTTTCAGCACCCACAATCAGTACTAACATGGTCACCCTGAAGAAGGTGTCTTGATGTTTCCTTCATTCTGGTTTAAATGATTTCCTTAGTCTTCGTGAGTGTAGGAAATGTATATTTTAAGTGACATTTCCTATAAACTAAATGTTACTAGAAATTAAGGGTTATTCCAGTTTTATTAGCAGTAAGGATTTATCTTTGTCTCATTAATCACTCATGTCATGTGACAGTAGTGAAGCTCCAGTCCTTCAGTGACTGGTACTGACCCTGCTGCCTACACATTCCACTTTGTAGTAAATGAGTGCCGTTTGCTTCTAGTTCTGACTTCCATATTGTCATTGTAAGTGCACTGTGACCACTACACTTGGCCTTTTTTGTACAAGAACCAAATGGAAAGTCTTTTCTGTTTCTTCCTCTGTCACTTGTATCCATTTAAACATTGATATAGAAACATCCTACTTGTATTTTGCAGGCCATGCAAAAGTCCAGACTTTACTGGTAAATTATTTTATCCCATGTGTCCAATACTGCATAAATTACTTAGAAAGAATTATTAGTGGCAGACTTAGAAAATTAGGGTCATGGAGTGACCATGGAGTGTTTGTGTTGGATTCTAGCCATGTTCTCATGTAGTAATTGGCTAATGTGAGTGAAAGATCATGTAAAGAGTACCTGCAGTTGTCCAGCACTTACTGAATGTTGGCATTGAGCTATATAGTGAAGGATCTAAAGTTTGGACATCACAGGCTGAGGCTTAAAGGGAGCCAGCAAAAACATAAAAATATGTGTCCGAGGTGCATGCACACACACACACACACACACACACACCAGCTCACTCTAGAGTGTTACGGGCTTTTTCAGGAAATGGGTATTATTCTTACCTGAGGGACTGTTTTTGCTTCCAAAAGGAAACATTTCCATATTGTTGAAATAATCTATTCAGTATTCAGATTGGTAGGTTAGGGATATACAAAGTTTTCCTATAAACATCACCAAAGTCAAGTTGTTACTGCTCGGTTTCCTTAGACAGTGTTACCTTAGATATTAAAGGTTAGTTGTTGAAATTACAAAGTAAAAAGCTTTGGATAATGACCTAGGTATATCAGCATTGTTAAAGCTCATATTTTAGGAAGTGAGACTAAAAGTCAGACTTAAGGTAACTCAAACCACGTCAGCAAGGTTCATGATGCTTTTCCTGTGTTTCAACAGCCAGTTACCAGCAGTCCTTAGGTTTGAAATGCCTTGAGGTAACCATGCTTCCTCATTTGTTAGTTCTCATTTACTAGGTAGGACTGACTGACTGTGGCTTACTGCTTCTTTCAGCTTGAGAACGCCAGGCTGTCCTCAGAGATGAATACTTCCACCGTCAACAGTGCCAGGGAAGAACTGATGGAGAGTCGAATGAGAATCGAGAGCCTTTCATCTCAACTTTCTAATCTACAGAAAGAGGTAAGTAAGCATCTTCCTTTAAGCAGAATTGAAGTTAAACTGGTAGGCTGCCGTGGTGAAGGTGCTTTGCCTGCCTGATGTCACTCCTTCCTCTATTCATGACGTGTGAGGCATTATTTTGTGCCCTGATTTTTACATTGTTTCCCCAGATTTTTTCATTTTGCACTACATAAGCCATTCTCTGAGCAGATACTGTTTCTCCTAATTAATAGGTTATGTAGAGCTAAGGGACTTCATAGGTTATTCACTGGGCATACTTTAGGATCCCGGTTTTCTACCCATCCGTCAGCCTCTTCTGCAGAGTTCCTTTTTCATCATGATTGGAAACGAAAACAAAACATGTAAAAATTGTTTGTCATTGGTGAAATGCTTTGTGTTTCTAGATGATTTCTTTGTGCTTAAAATACTTAAGAATTAGGGTATTGGGAAGGTCTGTAATTTCTTTTTATTAAGAATTCACTGGCACCATTCATTCATTAATACACTTTGGTGACAAATAAGTGCATTGCTTCTGTGGTGACTGGCTCCCCGCCAGCACATGGCGGTGTGCTCCAGGTGCTGTGTAGGCAGGCGCAGACATCGGCTTAAAGCAGTTCATTCTGGGGTTCTGTCAGTGGCTACAGAGCGCGCACACAGCCATATGCATAGTCAACATGATTTGGTAATTCACCGCTCACTCTAATTACCCAGAACTAACTTCAGCTTCTGTTTCCTTAAGGGAGGAAGTCTTATTTTGAGATTTCACATAATAATAAGCTTCGTTTTTTTACTTCTGATTAAGTTTTTTTCTTTTTGTTAATTTATTTTGAATAAAATGTTCTAATTATAAAGTGAAACTTTTATTGTAGGAATTTAGAAAACAAAGCAGAAACAAGTCACATAGAACAGGTTGATACTAAGATTAGCTAACATAGGTGCTTTTATATTGCCTGTCATGCATACTTTATTTTCCAGCATAAGATTTTAAGTTATTTTAGAACCAGGTTACCCTGGTAGGTTTTGAAGTTTCCATGTAGCAGTGGGCTGGAAGGACCTTTGTGTTCATTTGGTCTAGTCACAGACCCAGGTGAGTTTAATGACCTGCCTTGACGTTGTAGGATGATAAATAGGTTTCTCTCCTGGTTCCCGGTTTTTCCTTAGTATCTCTCTCTTCTTGAAGATTTTCTTTTTTTTATGGTACAGGGGCCACTCCACCAGCCCTATTTTTTGTTTCATGGAACTATTTGCCTGGGCTGGCTTTGAACTGCGGTCCTCCTGATCTCTGCCTCCTGAGTAGCTAGGATTACAGGCGTGAGCCACTGGTACCCAGCTTCTTTTAAGAATTTAATAGATAACTTGGTTTCCATTGCACCATCTGCCTTTGTCCTGTTGGGGTGCTGTGACAAAATATCATAGACTTGGTAGCTTATAAAGGGCAGAAATTTATTTCTTCCAGTTCAGGAGACTGGGAAGGTGAAGCAAGGCCAAGGCACTGGCGGAATTAGCGAGCGAGCATGTAGTGAGGGCCTGTTTCCTTATTCCAGGGATGGTGCTTTCTCATTGTGTACTCTTGTGGTAGGAAGGCAGATGAGCTCCCTTGGGCCAATTTTATGAGGGTACTAATTTCAGTCACCAAGGCTCAGCCCTCCAATCACCACCCACAAGGCCAAATCGCACCATCACATTGGAGACTAGGATTCCAACAGGTGCATTTTTGAGGGATACAAACATTCAGGCCACACCAATATCTTAACAGGCACTTTCCAGAAATGGGCTTCTGTGCTTGATTAGTTGTATTCTAGTTATTGCCTCTCCCTCAATTTTTGCTTTTCCCTGCCTCTTGTTTCTTTGTTGCTTAATCTACTTGATCACACTTGACAAGATAGTCTTCTGTTGAGGAGACCAATCTTCACTTTACAGACAGCAGACCAAGATTTGTTTGTGGTCAAGTAGCATTTGGTTCTGAGATCTGATAGCCAGGTCCTTGACCCAGGCTCAGGATCTTTTCCTTGTTTGCTTGCTAATTAAATTCCCATCCTTACAAGTGTTTTTGTCATCCTCAGGTTGTTGGCTTTTAAACAGTGTTAGGCTAGTCCCTGGGGGTTTCTAGGAGCTAATTCCTTAGCAGATACAAGAGACGCAGCCCCTTCAGCCAGATGGTTTTTAATTCTCGGTGGAGGGGATCCTTTCCTCTATTTGTTACTGGTAGCAAATATATTTTGATTAATATTTTCACTAGTTAAGTTTCAGCCTTAGAAAAGTCCTTAAAAAGAAATAAAGATCTCTTAACATTTTCCTACCATGTATCTTAACAGTATTTGTTGTTGCGTCATATTCATTTCATCATGTTACCTGTTGCTCCATAGTTTCCTTTTGGTTATGTGACTCATGTTAGTGAAGTTCTTCTTGAATTTTACTTAAAACTGAAATTCCCTTTATAATAAATACATAGGTGGCAGCAGTACCGTTTGGAATTAGGGATTTATAGGTACGGAATCCTGAGAGCGTTTAACTGGTTTGGTTAGGATCTGCTTGCCTTGCAGAAGCATCAACAGTAGCATATTAGAAGCACTGCTGATTTTTGATTTTCTAACACGCAGACTCTGGGAACTTCTATTGCTGCTAGACCATAATAAACCATTCTGTCCTCTACCTCAGATGTATGAAATAAGTGAAGAGAAGACATTTTGAACTTACACTGTTTAGAAAAGAAAATATAGGAAGTATGGAGCACAGTTAAATGCAAGTTCTCTGAGGCACAAGGACTGTCATTGTAACTTACAGTGTCACTCTTATGGGAATGTCTGTTTCTTTCTTTTTGGTGGGGGAAGTCCTGGACTTAGAACTCAGGGCCTCATGCTTGCTAGGCACTCTACCACTTGAGCCACTCCACTAGCCCAAGAAATGCCTGTTTTAATATGGAATGTCAGATGCTACTCTGGAATTGAATTGATTGCTAATTAGTTTTTAAAATAACCTTTTTATTTTGGCCTAATTTTAGATTTACCGAAAAGTTGGAAAAATAGTATGCACAATTCTCATATCCCTTGTCTGTTCACCCCATTGTTAGAGTTTTATGCTACTACTTGTCAAAACTAAGGAACTGACAGTAGTAGTACATTACTGTTAACTCAACCACAGACTACTTGGTTTCACCAGTTTTTCTGTTACCCTTTTTCTGTTCCAGGGTGCCACATACCTCCCTAGCCTCCCCTGGTCTGTGACAGTTTTGCAAGCTTTCTTTTTTCACGATCTTGAGTCTTGAGGAGGACTGCCCAGGTATCCCCTCAACTTCTCTTATCTGTGTGTGCTGGTGATTTCCACTGGATTAGGCTGGGCTCGTGGGTTTTAAGTACCTGTCTTACTACATCATGTTACGTCACATCATAGCAGGTGACACAAGAATTACTAGTGATGTGTGGTTACAGTGATGCTATCCACTGTCAACAGAAGTAGTATTTTTCCCATTTCAGCCTTTTTTTCTGGGGAGGCAAGTGACTTAGTCCAGCTACCCTTGAGGGTAGAGGGCAGGAGCCAAGCTCCTTCATCTTTCAGGGATCTACCCTTACTGAGTAGACTTTCAAAGGTTTCTTCTTTCTCCCCTTTATTTGTTTATGTCATTTTGGCCTTATGGTCTTCTATTTTGTACTTTGGGTTATCATTTAATACTATACTATTTTATTGGCTCAGATTGTGCTGTCAAGCTCACTGTTGTGTACCTTGTGGTTTCAGCATTCTCTTACTGCTTGGTACTACATGTTGTTCCAGGCTCATCATATATTTTCCCTGCCTCAGCCCTAGAATCACCCACTTCTTTTCTTTACTTTCTTTCTTTTGGTTTTTTGAGACAGGGTCTTGCTGTGTAGCCCTGGCCTAGAATTCTATGTAGCCTAGTCTGACTTCGAACTCAGGATCCTCCTGCCTCTGTATCCTGAGTGCTGGGATTACAGGTATGAACCACCATGTCTGGCTAGGACAATCCATTCCTCTCAAGGACTCCTGGGTCTCTTATTGGAGAATGGCATACAGAAGTTAAGGTCTGGGCACTGAGTGTACTCGGTACTGGGGTATCACTGCTTCTGGGCTCTCTTCATGGACAGCACCAGTAATCTTTGTGTGTGTGCTGACCCACGTACATGCCTGTATCTGTAATTGTTCTGTCTGTATATTTTTATAAGCTAAACATGAACTCATACAGATAATCTCTGACGTGAATTTAATACTTGGGTTCACTTTCAGCATCCTTTCTTGCTTTTCTTTCACTCTTCTCTATGAGGTTGAGAAGTCTGGTTTCCACCATCCATTTACCTATTTGTTGAGACCCACTATATGTTTAAAATAGTTTCAGAATTTTGCATCTGAACCCCTGTTAGAGGAATAAATTAATCAACAGGAGTGCAGTGTTTATATTACAGTGTGTGGCTTCTCCAGCCTTCCAGATTTAATTTTGCATGGTTGGTGCCAGGTCCCTTCTCTCCCGCTGATGCAGCTGCTGTGATTCTGAGAACCTACACCCTCCATCTGTCTCTTTGAGTTGATCACCCTTGTCATTTTCTGAGGTTACTGAGATGAATTCTGTCACATAGAAACAGAAGAAGATTACGCAGGAGCCTCAGGGTTTCTAAGTTAAACTTTCTGGTGTAAGATGTGTGATTTTTTTTTTTCACCTTTTACACCAAGTAATTATAATATTTTATAGACCACACTAACACTATATCGTATGTCCTTTGTGTGCTATTCGAGCATGAGATGGGGCAGCAACCCCTCCACGTTCCCTCTTCCTTGGTTTCTGAATATTCCTCAGCTGTTCTCTGTCACATACTTGCCCTCATCCTTAGCTTTCCTCTGTGAGTGAGTGTTCCTGTTTTTTCAGTTCCTTAGTTAATTTATACTTTTGAAGTACGGACCTTGAGGGGAAGCCAGGCTTGATTTACCACAACAGCGGCTTAAAATTTTATTTGGTCAAACTCAGAAAACTTATATGTACATTTATAAACTTCTATTTGGAGAATGTTTCTTTTTTGAGCCTTTCATTAGCCAAATTTTTCCTGAGGTCTGTTTTTTTTTTCTTTTATTCATATGTGCATACAATGTTTGGGTCATTTCTCCCCCCCCTTCCCCCCCCGCCACCTAAATTACATGCAACTTTTTAATTTTTTTTTTTTTTGGTGGTACTGGGGTTTGAACTCAAGGCCTCACATTTGCTAAGCAAATGCTCTACCATTGAGCCACCCTGCCAGCCTCTGAGGTCTGTTTTAATATTTTAGGAATTCGGGTTTTAATTTCTTAAAATCAAGAGCTCTTGAATTCTAATGAGTTAGAGACTCCCGTCCAGGAAACGGTTTTAAATAGCTGCCTTGTGCTAGGTTGGAATGTCCCTAGAAAGTAAGTGTGTTTCTTTGAATCTGAAGTCTAGAGCATGTTTGGAAAGGATTCAAGAGTTAGAGGACTTACTTGCTAAAGAAAGAGACAACTCTCGTCGCATGCTGTCTGACAAAGAGCGGGAGATGGCGGAAATAAGGGACCAGATGCAGCAGCAGCTGAACGATTACGAGCAGCTTCTTGATGTGAAGCTGGCACTGGACATGGAAATCAGTGCTTACCGGAAGCTCTTAGAAGGGGAAGAAGAGAGGTAAGGAAACGGGTCACCCCACAGTTTATTTTTTGCCCCCTATTTTTATTTTTAAGGAATAATGAATGAGGATTTGGTTTTTAACAATTCAGACAACTTTAAATATTTTCTGTCATTTTGTAACACCTAGTTATGAAGGTACTAATAGACCACAGTTCTACCTCGGCAATAGAAAACATTGATAAAAGAGGTCTCACTATATTATTATAATTATTTTAAATGTTGGACAGTGAGGTTTTAAATATTTTGGCAGCTTATATATAGATATAGAATACCAAATTTTCTGAAAAGAAACTTACACTTTTTAAATCTGGCTAGTGTATCTTTTTTTTTTGAGTCAGGGTCTCACTGTATAGCGCAGGCTAGCCTTGAACTCAAGATCTTCCCGTTTCTACCTCCCAACGCTGGGATTATAGGTGTGCACCACCATGCCCAAAATATATGAGTCATTTTAACATTTATTCTCATAAGAGAGTTTAAAGAGAAAGTGGCTAATTTAGGTTAAAAAGCCAATGAATTTCAATATTATGTACTTTTTTTTTTTTTTTTTTTTGAGGTACTTGGGCTTGAGCTCAGGGCCTTCATCTCCAGCCACTACCAGCCCTATTTTTGTGAAGGGTTTTTCAAGATAGGGTCTCACGAACTATTTACCTGGGTTGACTTCAAACCACAGTCCTCCTGATCTCTGCCTCCTGAGTAGCTAGGATTACATGAGCTCCTGGCACCGGCATTATGTACATTTTGACTGTGAGAAAACGCAGGTTTGAAAAGAGAAAACGGTGCACTAAATGTAGCAGTGGTCATGGTGGCAGATTACTATTATTTTTGAAGCAAAATTGACAGTGGACATCCTAGCATAGACAAATGTCTTAGTTTTAAGGTAATTATTGGCAGATTGTAGTAACATTAGAAATGCCTGAGCAGGCCATTACTATCCTTTGTTTTGTTTCTTCCATGTAGGTTGAAGCTCTCCCCAAGCCCTTCTTCCCGGGTGACAGTGTCCCGAGCATCCTCAAGTCGCAGTGTCCGCACAACCAGAGGAAAGCGGAAGAGAGTCGATGTGGAGGAGTCAGAAGCCAGCAGTAGTGTCAGCATCTCTCATTCCGCCTCAGCCACTGGGAACGTGTGCATCGAAGAGATAGATGTTGATGGAAAGTTTATTCGCTTGAAGAATACTTCTGAACAGGTGAAAAGAGTAGTCCTGGTTTTTTTTGTTTGTTTGTTTGTTTCTTTTTTCCCAGCAAGGCTTTACAGATTGATAGGCCATCGTGTAATTGTAATAGCTCCTTATCTTTTATTTGGATTCAATAAATCGTCGTGGAATAAAAATTTTCCCCCTCCTTTTTACTTAAATTCATGAAATAAAATTAAAATAGGTGACTGAGAAAGATGTGATGTGCCTTGTGGTTTGAAGATTATCTTCATTAACCCTTCTCAGAACCAGAGCTGTTTTTCACGCTGGTTATTTTGTCACAGTGACCTTCCCAAGGATGAATTATCACTCTTAGCTCTAGTCAGATTTGTAAAAAGGTTGCAGGACTGGGTGAAAATGGTAGCTGTTCTTTCACAGCTGTTAATAAAAGCCTTATGAAAGAGGAAATACCAGCCCAGGCTCAAGATAGGTTGAAAGGAGCATTTTTCTCTCTAAATAAATGAATAAACAAATGTTAATGATTTGTTTTATATCAAAAATAGCATGAAGCCCTATCTTGAAGTCATCTGTTAGTGTGAACATAAAATAGCAGGGATTTGTGAAGTTATAGCTGTGCATTAAGGAGCTCAGTAGTCCCTGGAAGGTGTGGGGTTGTGTGCTGGAGGAGAGCAAGGGCTGGGGGTGTAGTGGGGTGAGTGTCACTTCCTCAATCCTATGTTAAGGATCTGCCAAAATTTCGTTAATCATTCCTTTTCTCATCAGTGATTACGCTGTCTTGCATGTGGATGAGTAAACTATTTGAAGAAGCACTAGCACTAGCAGCTGTAATACTAAAGAAACTGGGCTCTGAGGTCAGTTTTCAAAGCTAAGAACAGAGCAGTTTCCGTTGCTCTGTTGTCCACTGTTTCAGAGGCCAGTAGCTGGGTGTAGAGCTGTTCCGGAACTGACCCTCAGCCTGGTTTCTTCTCATTTGAGGTAGACATATCAGATAGAAATTGGTCAGCCTGATGCTTTACTATCTGCTCCTTTCCTCATCTGTCAAGGAGCTCTGGGCAGTTAGGGCGGAGTTGACAGCCGTTACCCAGGTCTGGCTCATTGGCATCATTGGCCTGGTTTTGAGCTCCTTAGGCTTGAACAGAGCTAAATGTGGGAGGGGTACCACAGATGTAGAAGCAAAAAGGACAGATTTTTTTTTTCCTTCTGTTTCTGAGCTATAAGTGTCTATATTTTTAAAGTTTGAAGTCATCAAATATTAGATGTTTATATTTGTGATTATGATGGCTAGATAGGATATAAATTTGAAAGGCTCTTGTGATCCACTGTGAATATGACCATTTAATTTGGTTTGGTTCTCACCCTTTTTTCTTCCGTTTTGTTCTCTTTCAAATTTAGTCCTTTGTTGGGGTATGATGGCCCATGCCTGTGATCCCAGCTATTTGGGAGGTTAGGTAGGAGGGCTGGCCCCAGGAAAAAGTTGTAAGACCCTATCTGAAAAATAAAGTAAAATGGGCTGGGACATGGCTAAAATGAAGAGTGCATGCCTGACAAGTGTAAGATCCCATCTTCAAACCTCAGCGCCATCCCTCCAAAAATGTTTTTGTCCCTTACTAGTTAACTGTAATATTATCAAAGTTATTATTTTGTGGAATGACAAAGTCATGTTTCTTTTTATAGTGGAAAAATACAAATCATAGGAAAATAGCTGTAGAGCTATCTTAGTTTAAAAGGCTGTATGGTTTCATTTATTTGATTAATCTGTAACTTTCTGTGTATTTGACGTAACCTTTTTATATTTTGTTCTGTGACTAGGATCAACCAATGGGAGGCTGGGAGATGATCAGGAAAATCGGAGACACATCAGTCAGTTACAAATATACCTCACGATACGTGCTAAAGGCAGGCCAGACTGTTACAGTAAGTGAATTTAGTTATCATTTAACTTCACTGTGTTAAGTAACAGAGTTGTTTGTTTAAAAAAAATTTGGCTGGGTGTTGTGGTGCACACCCACACTGCTATAATTCTAGCAATTGGGAGGCTGAGGTAGGAAGATGGCACGTTCAAGGCTAGCCTGGGATAGATGGTAGATGGTGAGACTATGTCTCCAAAAAAGAAAGTTTGGCATAAAGAAAACCATTTTAGAAATGGGATTAAAATACCTTTGACTTTATTGGGGCATTACAATTGCTATTAAATATTTGTAAAACTCTGTCTTAATGAGAGTAATGAAAGAGTGAACCTTTGAATTACTTTTAATCTTTTCCGTTCTAATAGCTATAAAATGCTGTCTGTTGACTATCTCTTGTAGCCTAGTGCCACTCAGGAGAAACTGCACTGCACAACATAAACAATAATAGCATGTGCCTGAAACAGCAGGCTGGTTAGTAGAGAGTAGTCTTTTGATGTTTGGGCCCCACCTCACCTTAGCTATCTCTACGGTTAGAGTAGGGGCCTGTATTTTGAAAAGCCCTTCGACGGCCCGGCATGGTGACCCGTGACTGATATCGGCACTCAGGAGGCTAGCCTGGGATACTCAACAAGGCACTACCTTAAAAAAAAGCCTTTCCATTACAGGCACCCTTGTAAAGGATCACTGATTTGAAATACATATTTTGTGAGGAGTGATGTGGGCTTCACTTAGCATCTAAGGGTCTAGATTTAGAGAGATGGGCTAAGTGGTACTGGTTTCCAAGTGGCTCCCTGTTGGTGTCTTCTAGAGTAGTGTTCTTTCATAGTTATTTAGATTTTTTTAGAGACGCATATGCCAGTGAGCAAATGAAAAAGTCCTTTGCTTTTAATTAATAAGTAGAGTTAATAAGCAATAAAATATGTTAAATTTGATATAGATTTCAAGGAAGGCACCATTTTCACCCCCAAAGAATGAAGATGTGTCGTCCTTTTCATGGATTCTTCTTTAAATATGCTGGACTGGTGGAGTGGCTCAAGTGGTAGAGTGCCAGCCTAGCAATCATGGGGCCCCAAATACAAACCCCAGTATTGACAAAAAAAAAAAGTATGTTTTAAACATGTTTAATTTTGATTGATACAAACCTTACTGTTTAAGATCAAAGGCTCAAAATGCAGGTTAGAACTTTTCTGAAGTATAGAGAGCTTGACACCACTTGTGAAATAGCAAGGTGCTAATTTTGTAATAACGGGTAAAAATGAGAACAAATATCCTAACTACAGTATCCTTTCTTCACTTTAGTAATTACTATAGTGAGAGAAGATTGCTCAGTCCTATTATATGTCTTACAGAGGCTGTACAATGTGATGAAAAGAATCTGACGTTTTAATTTAGAAGATTCAGTTTTGAATGTACTTGTATCTCTCTCAAGTAATGTGGACCCATCACAACAATCATCTGCTTTTTCCCCTGGGCATACTACCTCAGGGACTAGGACTAAATGGATAGCTTCTGTGGGTCTAGTGGAGAGCCCAGCTATCACAGAAAATGATGTAATGCATTTGTTTTCTTCAGTATCTTGCACTAAATGTGATCAGCAATTTGGGACATAATTATGGTGAGGTGTTTCTATAAAATTATATGAGGCAAAAAAGAAAGATTGGTTTAAAACTCTTGAACAGAAATGTGAGGACCTACATATTATTTTAAATTTTCTTATAGCCATATTTAAATTTTTTTCAAGAGGTAAGAAATTAATCTTACAACTTTTATTTAACCCAAGATGTCCAAAATACTGTTTTAATCTAAAAAATACTACATTCTTTTTTTTTTTTTCCTAACCAGGTCTTTGAAATCTGGTGAATTTTCTAAATTCAGTGAGCCCCATTCCAAGTGCTCTGAAGCCACATATAGCTGCTGTATTGAACAGTATGAGCTCTTGCGCTTAGTTTTAGCTTAAATTACCAATAAGGCACTTTGTAAAAGTTACTGGCACGCTAATTCAACTATGTGATTCCATATAGATTAGTGAAAAGTACTATAGGAAATGAGGAAAACTAACATTCCACATAATCTGAAAGTTGGTCTAGATCCAGTTCCTTCTTTTCAGTTTCATCCCTGTAAGGGTTGGTTTCCATCTGTAGTGCTAATGAAAGGTCTGGAAGTCTTAAGAGAACATCTGAAAATAAGGGCTTTGTCTCATTTAGGAGATTTCACAGATTTTTTTTTCCCCCTATTATAAAATAAATCTGCTTTTGTCATGTTTAGCCTTTTGTAGTGGTATAGGTGTGCATTTCATATCTTTGTACCTATTTTTATATGATCTTTATAAAAGATCAGAGCTGGTTGTATCTCTGACCCTGAGGACATTGAGGCTCACAGAGATAGAGTGATTTTCTTCCCCTAGGATTCAAACATAGTTTTTCTGACTGGCAAGTTTTCTTTTACCTATTCTTTTCTACAAATAAGTGCATAAAAAGTGTCAGAATTTTCATGATAATGAGAAGGGAAAGACAATTGTTCTCTTTGTTTGGCCTGTTTCAATAGCAATTATATTTTCCCTTGAACAGGGTGATTTATCCATTTCCTGCATTCTTTTTGGAGCTTGATCTCAGACACTGAGTGCTGTGACACTATCTCTGGTTGGAGCTAGGCCAGTTTCCTTGCATGTTTCAGACAGGCTCCCTGCAACTGTAGAGGACTAGGAGGGGTTCAGAAGTCTCCTCTGTGGACGGATGGCCTGTAGTATCCGTACAATGATAGAATGCTACTGCTTCTATTACTGAGTGAGCCAGCCTGGGTATGTGTGTAATCACTTACTCTTCACAATAGTCCCACCTATGAAAGGTGTGGGGAACCAAAGTGAGAAAGGTTCAAGGTCAGCTGGTGTTAGAATTAGCTAGGACGTGAGTGTAGCTCACGTCAACTTGACTTCAGGGCCTTGTGCATCAGCAAGTTTATTTATCAGATGGCGAAGCTGAGGCCTCCAGAAATTCATGCTTCTGGCCACATGTGTCGTTAACAAAGTGACTGAAACTGGGGCAGAGTTCTCAGACATGTAGAGGCGTTGAAGTCTCCTTGTGCTGCTGACCGCGGCATATGAGAGAGCTGGCTTCGTGGTAATACTGATATCCTCTCTCTTTTCCAGATTTGGGCTGCAAATGCTGGTGTCACAGCCAGTCCACCCACTGACCTCATCTGGAAGAACCAGAATTCTTGGGGCACTGGTGAAGATGTGAAGGTTATCTTGAAAAATTCTCAGGGAGAGGTACAGCCATTGTTTTTCAGCCACTGCACTGTTTCACCTGAAAATTAGTGTACAACTATGATTTCATGCCAAAAGTCAAACAAAATGCTCAACAGAAAACAGGGCTGGTGGAGTATCTGGAGTGGTAGAGTGTCTGCCTAGCAAGCATGAGGCCCAGAGTTTAAACCCCAGTATATCCCAAACAAACAAACAAAAAACAATTGAAATTTGAACAAAGCTGCTGACAAACATGAGGAATAAATATGAATATTGTAGAGTACTGATTACTCCCACAGGCTTCAGAGTCCAGTTGTCTGTGTCCGGTTTTTATCTCCTCCTGCACATCAGTTTTGTGACTTTGAACAAGGTACTTTACCTGTTTGAATTTTCTCATTTTAAAGTAGACATTAATGAGACAATATAGGTGAGCTATTAATACAAGATAGACTTTGGGAAATTCTTGGAACAGTATCTGGTATAGTGTGTCTCTCAGTGATCAGGAAACTGAGTTTGAAGATGGCAGAGTGCACATCTGTTTGGTGTGCATGTTTTCAACATGTCAATCCTAGAAAACTTATCAAAGAACTTTATTGTCCCCACTGCTACATAAAGACTGATCACACACACACAAACACACACACCCCCTCTGTCAGTGTTAGTCTTAGAAATACCACTTGTTAATAAAGCAACTAAAATTGTCAATCATGTTGAGAATTTGAGTCCCTCTGTTGCTATTGCCATAAGCATGTTCCTGGAGTTTGTATGAATCAGAGTGGTGTATGCCCCTCATTTTTCTCCTAATTTGTATTGCCACTTCCTCATCCCTCCTTGCCTGCCATGAGAGCTCTAAGTGCCTTGTTTCAAGATTCTTGTTCTAAGATTCTTCCTGGTTCTGGCCTTTTCACCTAACCACCAGCCTGGCAGGTTCTGCTTGCTGCTCAATCCCAGTTCTTCCAACATAACCAGGAGTACTCTTCAGTCTGAGTGACCCTCAGAAGGGACATATAGGGCAATGTTAGGCTGGCACACTTGGTAGGGAGACTGGCATATTTGTAGAGCAGGATTACTCATTTATTTGGAAAATCCTGAGCATCTACTGGGTATAGGAAAATAGCAGGAAAGAAGACAGATGTGGTTTCTGTCCATGAAACTTTCCATTCCAGAGAGAGGGAAGCCAGCAAATAAGATAACGTGATAAGAGGCTTTCTTAAAATATGAAATAAAGAGATAAACTGTTGTGTCTTAAAGAGTCCCTGAGGAGATCTGCTTTACATAGTATGGTAAGGGAGGTGTACACCTTAGTGTAAACCTGAGAGATGAGAAAGAGCCAGCCATTAAGAGAATAGAAAAAGTCAACATTCCCAGGTAGCAGGGCCAGAAAATGCAAACGTCCTGAGGCAGGAAAGAGAGCTAATATGCCTAGTAGAGACGGTGCAAGTGGAGAGTAAGACTTAGGCAGCAGGGGCAGATTGTGTAGATTCTGTACAGGCATAGATCTTGTGCTCAGTGCCATGGGAGGGTGTGAGGTTGACATGATAAGGTGAACACGAAGAGCACATGCCATTACGGGGATAAAAAGAACTGAGGAGAGACTGGACTGCTAGGTGGAAGAGAAGTAAACCAGCTACAGAGATGGTTCGGTGGTAGTCATAGCAGAATGCACTGGTAAGGTTAAATATGAAGGATAGGAATTCATTTGACCCCTAATTTGTCTGCTTGGGTAGCCAGGTGGTCCTACTACCACTTACTGAGGGAGAACAGGCTAAAGATCAGTAAGCTTGGGTGGGAGCTGGGGTGGGGATGTGTAGTGGAGAAGGGAAACTGAGACCTCTTCTGGCCGTATTGAGATGCAAGTTAGGTATTTGACTGAAGTGAGGAGTGCTCTGCCTCAGGCTGGGAATAAAATGGCATCTGTTTAAACCCCAGTACTGCCAAAAAAAAAAAAATGCATACAAACACACATAGCATACATGAAATGGCAAAACTGGGATTTGAACCCAGAGCCTGGACCACTAATTAGGTTTGGGGTTTGGCTCACGTGCTAGAGCACTGGTCTAGCAAATCTGAGGCCCTGAGTTCATCCCCATTACCAGACAAAAAAGAAATGGTAACCTTGTTCTTCACTGTAGACTATGGTACAGTTGAGTGAGATTTGGGGTCACAGCTGGGGAAGTCACTCCCAAATGCAAGCTGGGTTCTCCAAGAGGCAGGGAGTACACAAATGCCTTGATAATTCACAGACTTCACGGTGCCAGATCATCCTTCTGTCCTGTTGAAACCCTTACTCACTCTGCCTTGGGAGTCCTGCCCAGCTGCAGAAGTACTGTCACCAAAATGCTGGAGTCAGCTGCAGCTCCTCTGCTGTTAGCACCCTCTGGTGGCCAAATTTTGTCTGGAGACAAAATATGTATGTCTCAAAACATTGCTCCAAGTGATGATTTGCTGACTCAAGAGCATGTTACAGAGGTATGTGATTAAATGGACTTGTAAGCCATGAAATGTAGTCACTACCTTTACTCATTTGTTTCCCGTGTGAGAAGGTATTCCAAGTTAGAAATAGTCTAGAACAATACTTGCAATGCTGTAGCCACACCATGACGCGGAATGTGTCTTAAAGAAGTGTCAATTTAACTTTTTATGTATTTCTGCTTGCTTGGGGCATTGGAAGTGTCAAAAAGCAGTTAAACTGACTTTCAAATAATGAGAAATTGTTTTGGCTTCTAATAAAATTTTTATTTAAAGATAGTAGACTTGATCCAGTGTTTACAGAGTAAGTGCAATAGTCTTTGTTGCGTCTCTTTCCTGGGCTCTCTCTTGTGGTTGCAGGACAGCTCCAAGCTGCTGCGGAGGTGCATCCTTCCTTTTCTTTTTTTGGGAAGGGGCATCTTTCCCTGCGAGGTCCCCAGCTTGGGCTTTGCTCTGACCGTATCAGCTTGGTTCGTGTGCCCTCCCTAAACAGGAGGAACCCTCTTCTGCCCCTGGCAGCTAGTTGTCCTTGTCTCCTTGTGACACACACATGCTGTATGGTGAGAGGTAAAACTAAAGGTCTTATCTAGACATGAAGGGGAGAGGTCTGAGGTAGTATAAAACAGCAAATGTCACCAACATAAATAAGATGTTTTTTATGAGGGAAATAAAAAAATAAAACAGTCCTCCCTACCTTCCCAAATAGAGGCGTAACTACACCTCTGTGCGTGCAGGTGATTGCTTAAATATGTAGAGATGTAACTTACATGTAGACAGTTGACTCTTCAACAAAAAAATGGCCCCAATTTGTAGCATAAGTCCTCTCACCATGCCAATTTCAGGTTTCTATCACGTAACTGAACGCAAGAGTTTTGAGATGCGCACAGTTAGCTGGTGCCAGCTGGCTTCGTTGCACTACTGAACTAATTAGTGTATCGTTAACACCCAAGGCTTTGAGCAGGGGCAAGCCAACAGTGTGCTTCATGGGACTGGTAAAACCTGTCACGTGAGGCCATTTGAGTACCTTGCTGAGAGGACTTTTTGGGGGATATGTTAGTGTCTTGACTAATAACTACACCTCCCAAAAATGTTTTGGTCCTAATTCTTTTTAATTTAGATTTTTAGGCATTATTTAGCTGACTCATTTTCCACAAAAGTTCTCTGTATTAGATGAATTGGTTTTTAAATGCTTTCAAATGAAAAGCGCTTAACAGCAGGCTTATATTAAAAGCAGTTGCATTGAAGTAACTCATAATTAACAAAGGTGGGCAGGTTGCTGTTTCTCATTTAGGTTACTAGTCTCAACTTCCACCCACACCTTTGGAGCTGGTGCTGTACATGGGGTGTACGCACTGCCATGAGCTGCTCAAGCTGAAATGGTGAATAGATTTTCTTCACTCTTCTTTCCTTAGTTTTAGTTGAGTGAGGAAGGCTGTACTCATTTTTTGAGAGTCCTTTTTCTGTTGATATCTTGATTCAAAGAATTGTAATTGATCTGAGGAGTCACATGCTTTTTTATTAATGTGGTTAATAAATGACTGCTTGTAAGGACAGATTGATTTCATAGACCTGAGAGATTCCATGTGACCCCTCTTCCTCAGTCCTCAACAGTAATCAAAATCTCTACCAAATGCTATCAACCCACCTCACTTAAACACACTACATCCTTGGACATACTTCACATTGAAGCCTCATTTTCATTCTGTGGTACTTTTGTGTTCTTCTTTCATCTTAAGCTACCTGGTCTGTGTTAAATTTCAGATACGCTCTAGCTGAAGTAGTCTTACTGTCTTCTGTGTTGTTATCTGTCTTGAGTGACCTTAGGATAGGGGAACGAATATAAGTAGATGCTCTGCAGCACTCTGGGACTCTCATATACTCACTGCCAGATCGTGAGGTGAGCCTGTGCTTAAACAGAAACAATGCAGCATTTGTGCCTGGTCAGCATATGCTGCAGGAAAGTCAACTGTACTGAGCCTTTTAGTAGAAAGTGGAAGTGGTTGCTTCTGTCACACCTCCGACGAATAGATGTGCAGATCTCTTTCTGCACAGAATGCATCAGGCTCTCACTAGATGTTGTTAGTAATTGGGGCTAATCCATCCTGAGTCCATTTTCTTCTCACTCATCAGATAGTCTTGCTGCCATCATGGTCCCTGAGATCACAAAACAGCTAGCCTCCAACCCCATTTAATTCAGCATTTATTTAGCACTTTCTCTTTGCTGGGAGCTAAGATCTTTAAGTTGAATTCCTGTTGAGTTTTATAAAGAATTGAATGTGCCAAATGATTTGCACAGAATTCTTAGGAACAGAACGGGATAAAAAGCATTGGGAACTTCTCAGCAGGTATTTCAAATTGGGTACCAATAGCTCCCCTGCAGGGAAAATTGGAGGTCTGTGAACTGGTACTAATTATGCAAAAAATTCTAGTTCAGTAGCTAAAGATACTGATGAAATGGCTTTAAAAAAAAAAAAAAAAGCCTGATAGAGGAATGGTATTTGTTAAGCAAAGAAAAGGTCCCCCTTCCCTGCAGCCCTATCATTTTAAGGATGGTTTTTTAATCTTAAATGATCTTGTTTTTAGGAGGTTGCTCAAAGAAGTACAGTCTTTAAAACAACCATACCTGAAGAGGAAGAGGAAGAAGAGCCAGTTGGAGTGGTTGTTGAGGAAGAACTTTTCCACCAGCAGGTATTACTTTAATAGATATGTTTTAATTTTTATTAAGAGAATTACCTATTGTGTGGGGTTTCTCCCTGTTACTTAGTGAATCAAAGCTGTGATTTATCTACCACGTGGGATTTGTAGTTCCCAAACTGATACTCAGGGTAGTATGGGTGCAGGTAGAAAACGCTAGCTTTTCTTTTATTTCTCATTCTATCAAATTCCAGCTTTGTCTTTCATTTTCTAATGTACATAATATGTTATGGTATGGCCTGTACACTGCTTATAAGTAAGTATTTGCAGATTGGTTGCATGTCCTAAAACTTATTGTTGGGCTTTGTGACAAGTTTAGATTACTAAATTAGAGCTTCAGTGTAAAACAAAATTCCTGCTAAGTTAGTTCCTAATTATTGTCTAATTATAAGATAGATTTTAGCTGATGCTTGGGCTTTTCTTGAAATAAAGAAACTCCAAAATTGGTTTTAATTAATTGTATTAGAATTATTAATAACTAACAAGCCTGCAGTTTATATTCTCAAGCTGTGTGAGTCTGATCATTAATCATCCTCTAACTTACCCTGATAGGACTTACCCCCAAGTCTCCAGATTGATAATCTTAAATTCTTTTTGCTTCATTAGTTTCAGCCCTACTCTAAATAAACATTCTCTCATGCGTTTAACCCCCGAGGTGGGTTCTATGAGATAGAATGATTTTTTTTTTTGTTTTAACCTGGATTTCTTCTCATACATTTTGGTCTAAGGAATTAATGGGCCATAAAGAAATGGGTAGAGGAGCCATTTTGACTTGATATGCGAGAATGAATCCAAAACAAATGTATCTGGAAATTCACAGTCCAGCAAAGCTGTTTGCTTTGCTCTGACAGGAATCGCCTGTAGCTAAGTTTTCAGAGGAGGTTATTGATCAGGTTTTTCACCTTCAGCTGCATATGAGAATGACTTTAAAATTACACAGTGACATCCCCTTCCTCAGTTACTGAGACATTCATAATTGATTGGTGTAGGAACCTAGGTCAGATTTAAAAACCAACCAACAAGCAAACTCCTCTGAAGCCAGTGTTGAGAAGCACTTTTGGGGTGTTCTGGGGAGCTCCTTAAGAGAATGTTCAAAGGATGAGTGAGATGGGATAAAGGCCAATCCAGAGTTAGGTAGTATCACTTTAGTTAAAATGTTCTGTGCTGCTTTAGAATACTGTGATCCATTTTCTTAGCACTGACTTTTCCTTCTGTTTTCTTATCAGGGAAGCCCAAGAGCATCCAATAGAAGCTGCGCAATTATGTAAACTCGGACAGTTGTCTTCCTTGAGATAAGAAGTATGGTAATCCTTACCTATATGCAGTGCAGAGCCTTCTCAGAAGCACAGAATATTTTTATATTTCCTTTATGTGAATTTTTAAGCTGCGAATCTGATGGCCTTAATTTCCTTTTCAACACTGAAAGTTTTGTAAAAGAAATCATATCCATACACTTTGTGCAAGATGTGAATTATTGACACTGAAATAACTGTGTACTGTTTGCAAAGGGTCCCTCTTTTTTTTTTTGGCTTTTTTATATGTGTGTGTGTAATTTTTTTTTTTTTTAAGTTCTTAGGTCAAGGGGAAGGGGAGGGTAAATAAACCACTGTATGTCTGGGTATAATTTGAAGATTGCTCCATCTAGAATAGCAATCTGCTCTTGATTATTCTCTGCTATATATAAAACGGTGCTGTGAGGGAGGGGGAAAGCATTTTTCAATATATTGAACTTTTGTACTGAATTTTTTTGTATAAGCAATCAAGGTTACAAATTTTTTTTAATAGAAAAGAGAAATTTTGTAAGAAGGCAATGTTAACCTAATCATCATGTAAGCACTCTGTATGAAGGATTCCGCAAAACTTTGTTTTATGGTTACTTCTCTTAGATTCTGAATTCATGAGGGGAGTGGGACAAGGGCAGGGAGGCAGGGTGGGGGAAGGGTTTCTCTATTACAGTGCATTAGTTGTGTTTTTTAAGATAGTGTAACATGCTTAAATTTCTTATGTGACATTAACAAATAAAAAAAAGATGTTTTACTATTAATCTGCTGTCCTTTTTAACCCTTTAAAAACAGATTGTGAGAGAAGAAAAATGGTTCAGTTTAGTAATTTGAGACTGGGGCTCAAGTGGTAGTGTTTGCCTAGCAAGTGTGAGGCCCTGAGTTCAAATCCCAGTACTGGCAAAAATTATATATATATATATATAGAGAGAGAGAGAGAGAGAGAGAGAGAGAGAGAGCTAGGTAAGCCAAACACAACTGGACTTTTCCTAAATGCTTTGATAGTTGAGGAAGGTTAACAGACAAATGATCTATTTTGGGGGTCTTTACATTTTTACTCTTCTTATCAGTAGTATTAAAAATAATAATGTTTCGAGCCAGATATACTTGATATGTAGCCCAAACTGGCCTCAAACCTGAAATTCTCCTGCCTCAGCTTCCCTACTCTGGGATGCCAGTTATGGTGGTACATGTCTACAATCACCACCATGCCTGGCTCGTACTTTTTCTGTTGTCAACAACGGGGCCTTTCAAGTTTTCTTAAGGGAAAGCACATAGGGACAGTGGGAGAAGACACCGAAGAAGGGAAGGCATTCCTGTTGGAGGAAAAATGAAGGTATTTTAGAATCTATTTTTACTGTCATTTAAAATAGAAGAGGAATGAGGATCACTGAAAGCCTCCTTTTAGAAGAGGAACTACAACTGGTAGGAGATAAGAGGTGTGTGTGCAGGGTGGCTGTGCTCTGCATGGTGATAGTTAGGGTATCACTGGTTATGGACTTGGGGAGTGTTTTTCATTGCAGAGAAGCCTAATGTTGAGGCCCCCCCGGAACACACAGCTAACATTTCAGAAGCTAACCCAGAGCCAGCCTTTGCTTTCCTCTTAAAATATTCCTGCACTAAGCTGTGCAAAGACAACAAGCTTTCACTTGAAAATAGCTCACAAAGCCCCAAATTACTGTGTTCTACAGATTTATTGCATACCGTGGTACTGTGGCAGACACAAGGTAAACACTGGGGTAGAAATTCTGTCTGCGAAGCAGATACAATGATAACTTCTCAACACAGATTTATCTTCTGAGAACAGCAACACGGTGCCCAGCCAGATGTGGTTGTGAAACGTTTTGCCACAAGATGGGGTTCTTGTCATCAAAATACATTCCAGGTGCTTTATTGCTGGATTAACTAGGATATAAAAATCAATGCTTTAATCGGGCATTAGGAAAAATTGGCAGTTGTGATACAGTAGAATAGTAGTCTGGTAAAATTCAGAAAGTAGTTTGGTGCCCCTGGATGTGTGGCAGTGGATTGTTGATACTGTTTAGAATGATACACTTTGGAGGACATTGAACTTCTCTGAAATTGAGCTGCACCTAAGTCATTTCTGAAGGGCATGAGAATCGGTGTGGGGGGAGGGGGCATGAAATCAGCATCTCTGTCCGTGGCAGAAACACTGAAATGCATTTCACAATTACTCAGCTGTTGATAATGAGCATGAATTTGCCTTCTTTCCTTGGTTTGTCTTCATAGTCTACTTTCATCACCGTGTTTATTCTTTTGGAGGCTCATCTCTATGCTCTCTGCTAAGAAAATTCTGGATATTCTTATGTTGCTGAAAATTACCTCATCCTCATTTCTCTGTTCTTCCCATCAGGGATTTCTTAGATTCACATTGAACCTGTTCTCTTTCATATGTTTTAGGCTTCTCTGTTCAATAGTCTTAGTAACTCCTTTGTATATGTTTCACTAATTCTTGTCTCAGCCTTGTCTAACCTGTTGTTTATCCAGGCCATTGCATTTCTAATTTCATATCTCATTTCTGAAGTTGTTTTTGATTTTTTTTTCAGATTCTCCTGTTCATTTTTTGTGTACTTATTCTTTAATGCTTTTTTTTTTTTTCAGCATAGTTTCTGTTCTTTTAAAAAGCCACTTTAAGCTGAAGCTAATGGTTGGACACTCCTATAATCCCAGCTCTGCAGCTACTCAGTAGGCAGATGCAGGGGGATGATGAGTTCAAGTCCAGCCCAGGCAAAGGTACTGTGTAACCCTGTCTCAGAAATGAAAGGGCAGTGGATGCATAGCTTGGGTGGTAAGACTGCCTGCCTAGCATGTGTAAGGCCCTAAATTCATTCTCCAGCACCACAAAACAAACACTTCAGTTAGTAATTTTATAGCCCCAATAATTATTTTATTGAGTTCTTAGGGATGCAACTTTTTCTGTTCACTGCATTTGGTGACTGTCCCTTGCGGTGGTTTGCTTCTTCCTGGGGTTTTAGGATTGTGAATGCATCTTCAGAAGGGTTGTCTGTTTTATGAGCCAGGGTTTTGATGTTATGACTACAAAGGACTTGGAGGGTTCCTTGTGCCAGTCCTGGTGACTGTAATGTTGTGGACTCTTATTTTCTTGCCTCGTGGTGGTGTAAATCCACTTGGGTACTTGTGCATGAGTGTTGTCTGCTTTTCCCAGTTAGCCTCCGTGCCCTGCCCCAAAGCTCCCATGGACTTTGCTTTTGCTTTGAGCTGGCAGGTGGTGTCTTGGAAGTGTGAGGATGTGGGGAGCACTTGCAGGCTCTCTGCTTTGTATCACAATCTGAGTTCTAGATGTTCTCCCTGGCATGGGCCCAGAGCCGTGTTTCCTACCCCCAGTTCAGCTCCTAAACCTTATCTTTTCATGTTTTCAGTTTTTTGTCTGTGGCACCTGGACATTTCTGGTACTTTCTTTTAAGTTTGGCTCTGTATTAAAATAAAAAATTCATTCTATTTTATCATTCTTACTGTGAAATGAAGGGGTTGTCCACATCAGTTTGTCATCACATACGTTTTATCTCTGTATAAATGTGTATATTTTTAAGATAGGATTATCCTAAATCATATTTCTTGATTTATGACTTCAGTCTCACACACCATCCATTTCATCATATCTAACATTACAAAGAAATTTAAAAGTGAGGAATTAAAAAGAATTTTTAATTCATTCCTTCTGGATCATTGGCTCCTATGGCACATAGTACAGGTGTGAGCTTTAAGAGGTGCCACTAGGTGGGGGACATTTCCTGGGGGTCGAACTTTTGAGCCCCTGAAGAAAGGGTCTCATCTGTGATATTTACATGACCAAGTCCAAAATCCTAAAATTGGGATTGTCCCTGCTTTCTAGACACCATATTGAAGGAGATAGTATTTAGAACTCCATGTTTCTTCTGTTTGGCTGCCTTACTAAAGGGACATTTGTAGCCGAACTGATGGGAATGAAGAAAATCTTTAGGTAAAAATACAAGTGAAGCTCACAGAGGTCAAATTTCAAGTTGTAGGGGACAGGAGTGTCTCATTAATTAAATGTGTTGAGCGGGAATACCAGTCAGTTCTTGGGGACCGGTGCTGGGAGTGGATGCTGTTTGGCTGAGGGGGTGAGAGTGAGGACAGAGAGAACACCCAGTGCGGCGGGAGGCACTCGGGTCCGGAGTGTGGGATTGCCTCACTTACTGCCTCCCACTGCTCCCTTCCACCAGAATGCTTTTTCATTCACTTTTCACAGTCCTCTGCTGACATTACTCGAGACAAAATGCACCCCTCCTTTAAGAAGGCAGCCTGTCCAGCACCTTACTTTATAACAATAAAATTTATTCACTCAGATTTATTATGTGAGTGCTTCCTCCAATCTGAACTGGAATTCTCCGTTTAAATGCCAGCCAAGTTTGCTCTTAGAGAAATGTAGCATCTGTTCCATTTCAGTGGTTTTGGTGCTATTTTGGCTGTGTGTTACTCCACACAAGCTACAGGTTGGATCCTAAAGATTTCTCTGCATCTCTGCCATTTTCTTACATACTATGTTGAGTTCTTTGATTTAAAATAAATCCTCTCTTACCTTGTACTCTTTATTACATGGCCCATCTGTTCACAGCTGGTGGTCCTAATCCTCTTCTACTGTATGTAGTGTCTTCAGACTTTGCCTTTCTCCTTGAGTCAGTGTTTGGGGGCAGTTGTATTAGGGTCCAGGTTTCTTTGCTAGTGTTTTGTTCCCTTTGGTGTTTTGTGACTCAGTCTGTATAAGTGTTCTCAGTACACGTGTGTTTTTTCCCATCCCTCTTCCTGTAGGTCTGAGTCCCATGACATAAGTTTGGCCACAAGTCCTATCCACAGTGTCCACTGTGAACACAGCAGAAAGAGTCTGATGTCTCATTGTGCTGAATATGGTCTGCCTCCTGTAGAGGACTGGCTTTCTAGTGTAGGGGCTGCAAGCGATCTCCAGATAACGGCCTCACTGTCCAGTTTCCCAAACTGAGTGCCAGCTTACTTGTTTTTCCCTCTTTATTTTCCCTCCCTTCTCAACATTTGAGCCAAGGAGCCTCCCAGATTATGCTGCCTGTAACAAACACTACTTTTGACGTAGACCTTGGCATTCGTTCGTTCTTCAAAGTCTGGGATCATGACCCTGTCTTCCTCTTGGCTGCTAGTTTCCCAATCCTTTGTTCTGCCCGGGGCCAAACTGATGAACCATCTTCCCAGCTGTCCAGTCAGACCATTTCTCTTCTTAAGTTTTTGTTCTAAGAGAAAATTATTAGGAAAATTGAACCCTGGCAAAAGGAAAAAAAAAAAAAACTAAAAACTGATTCTTCATCATAAAAGCAATAGTGGGTCCGGTCTCCACCCTCAGGAGGAGCCATAGGCCACCAGGAAGTGTACCTTTGATTATGGTCTTGGAAGGAAGAAATGTCTGGGCGCCAGAGGTGAACACTTTGTGTGACTCAGGGTGACCTCATACCAGAAATCCTGAAGGAAGCTGGGAGCAGGGCCCTTAGTTGTCCCATGCAGCTGGGGATACTGGGGAGTCAGCTTAGAGAAACAGACAGAGGTGGGTTCTGGAAATGGATCTCTGCTCTGACATTCAGTGGGGAGCGCGAGGTCACACACCGAGTGTCTTCCCTTATACTTGGAGAAAAGCAAGCTAAAACCCATTGAGAAAGAGGGGAGAGAGGAAGAGAGGGCTGCACCGTCAAATGTGACCCTACTTGAACCTCACGATACGCACTAGCTGAGTGCTGTTGAT